TAGGACTATATACAGAAGATGAGGTAATCAGGTTGAGGGACTGATTACCTTATCTTCTGTAGTCCTACTGTCTTCAAGGCATGTCCTAGAATTTATATTGATAAAGCCACTGGATGGCGAAAGTCTACAATAAAGATACCCAGATGTTGCACACGAGTCTTAATTTCATCTTGTCTGTATTATATACCATTCTTGCACAATAGCAGATTACTAGGATAACCCAGGGACAGGTTTTAAAAGACTGCATTTAAAATAAAGTTCCTAGTAAATGCAATGCAATTTTTCAACACTAGTGACGCTCTTTAAGGTTTGCTATACAAATAGTTTAGCTAAGATTACTTGCAAGTGCAGGTATAGTTATTATTGCTACAACAGAATATTCTATTTGAAAAATTCCTTTTGAATGCAACAGTCAAAAACTATTCCCCACAGGATCAACAGGAAGTGGTGGAGTGGGGATGCATGTTTGATAATTTAAATTTTTATGTTGGACAAGATGTAAAATTAGAATCAGGACACTGTTTGGCTCCAGTTTTTCGAAGGTAATGAAAATTTTTGGGTGCGATATATAGCCGCCGCCGCCCTCCCCCCCTCCCAAACATTGACGGGGTGTGTGTGTGTGTGTTAGGCTGCTATAGTAAGAAATTCACAAGGAGTGTATGATGAGTGTTAATGGGAGATTTTAACCAAAATTTATTGTAACCTACAGGAAATATCAAGTCTAGCGACATACTGTTCAGAATTGCTTTTTAAAACTGCGACAGAACCAACTAGAAGGAACAATCTAGTACTGTTCTTGCCAACAAGGAATCTCTTGGTTTTAATTTAGAGGTTAATGATGAGCTAGGGGAAAGCAATCTAGTCAGTTCCAATATATAATGGAATTGTCCAGATAACTGCAATAGTGATAAAGGTCCCAGGACCGAAACGTTTTCTAATGTGTCAGTGTTTCCTTACGTGTCTTTCTAAACCAACTAGTCTATTACCAAGGTTTATACCAATAAAGTCACTGTCCCAGACTTCCGCTTGGCCGTCTTCATGGGACCGAAAAATTACCTGGATGGGCTAACCTGGTATGACCTTACTATGGGTCAGGAAGGTAGGTTTGGTTGCCAATAAGACTTATTTTAGAGCCTAGTGCTAGCTGCCCAGATTACTTGTCCCGAGTAGGGAAATTATATCTAAAAAATATTCCCAAATGGAGAGATTAAAAAGTTTGATCAAGAAGAGGCACATAGGCGTATTTGAAGAGGGAAAGCAGTTAAGAAATCAATATAATCAATTAAAAAAAAAAGCATAAAGGGATTATGAAGCTGAAGTCGTAGGGGATTCGAAGAATAACCCAAGAGTTCTTTCAGGTATACACGTATGATTAGGAAGATAGGCTACTATTAAAGATATGTGAACTCTTCAGTACCTACTTCCTTTCAGCTTTTACTCGGGAAGATACTAGCGAAATTCCAGAAATGAATTTTGTAGAACAGGACTAAACTATGCACGATTAGGGTAACTAGCGATACAATCCTTAAAGGTTGAAACTAATCTCCAGGCCTTTATGAAATGTCTGCAATGGGGGTTTTTAAGGAATGTAAAGAACTTTGCATACCTTTGGCTAATTTCAATACATGACTACGAACTGGCATACTGCCAGACAAGTGGAAAATGACAAATTTAATTCCTATTTACAAGGCAGGGGACAGGTCCTTCGAACTATAGACCAATAAGCCTAACCTCCATAGTTACCAAGTTTATGGAATCTAATTGCCGGAGCAATTCGTAGCAATCTTTAAAAGGCAAATTCATTAATGAATATCTGCATGGTTTTACAAAGGGGTGTTCCTATCTTAGCAATTTACTTTCTTCACTTGGGTATTTGAGGAGGTAGATCATTGTATCTAATATGATAGTTATGGATTTCAGCAAGGCTCTTCATAGTTGCCCATCAGAGGCTGTTGAGAAAAAGTACACTGAATAGTGGTAAGACATGCAACAGTTAGGTATCAGTTTTGAAAAGTTTCGCCTACACAGTAGGCTTCTTCAGTAGAGTACAGATCTCCATATTGTTTCAGACGATGGAACAATACTCTTCTCCAGACTGAGGGACTGACCACCTCAAAACTTAAAGGGCGATTGATTGACTGATTACATCGTCTCCAAGTCTCTTCTGCTTCTATCAACTTTTCTGTACTCTACTGAAGAAGCCTACTGTGTAGGCGAAAAGTTTCGAAATAAAGATGCCTAACTGTTGCACATGTCTTGCCTAACAACCTGTCGGTTGTTTATACCATTTGAATGTTTACACTGAATAGTAGAAATTTTCCTGGGTAGAGGCACGGTTGACAAATAGGCAGCCGAGCGTTTGCCTAAATGGATAGAAATCAGGATAGGGGCGTGTCACAAGCTGTGTTCCACAGGGGTCAGTTTGAACATGAAAATGGTATAAAATACCGACAGGTTTTTAGACAAGACATATGCAACAGTTTGGTATCTATTTCGAAACCTTTCGCCTACACAGTAGGCTTCAGTCGAGTACAGAAAAGTTGATAGAAGCAGAAGAGACGAAGACTATGTAATCAGTCCATCACCACCCTTAAAGTTTTGAGGTGGTCAGTCCCTTCGGTCTGGAGAAGCGCATTGTTCCATAGTCTGAAACACTGAGTTGAAGTGACAGGATGGAGCCTTATATAGCGTTTATAAGGCTCCATCCTGTCACTTCAACTCCATATTGTTTCAGACTATGGAACAATGCTCTTCTCCAGACCGAGGGACTGACCACCTCAAACTTTAAGGGCGATGGACTGATTACAGTCTTTCAAGTCTTCTGCTATCAACTTTTCTGTACTCTACTGAAGAAGCCTACTGTGTAGGCGAAACTTCGAAATAAAGATAGCTAACTGTTGCACGTGTGTCTTAGCTAACATGGGTCAGTGTTGGGCCCTTTGTTCACAATTTACAGAGATGAGGGAATATAGTTTAGCAAATTTACTGATGACACCAAAATAGGCCGTCCAATTCATTCTAGCAAGGAAATTAGAGCACTCCATGATTAGAATAGACTGATTCAGTCCATGTGCCTTAAGTTTCCTCTATAGTCTTTGGTGTGGAACTATCGAAAGCCTTGTGAAGTCCATATACACGGTATCATATTCATTACAATGATTACCTCCTCAAACAGTGAAAAAAGTAAATTCTTGAGACAGGAACGGCCCTTTGTGAAACCTTGTTGAGATTCATTAATCAATCTGTGCCCGTCAAGATGGCTACGAATTGCTTCAGCAATTATTAATTCCATAAATTTTTTCAACATGTAGGCAAGGCTTATTGGTCTATAGCTCGAAGCAAAGGACCTGTCACCTGCCTTATAGGCATTACATTTGCCATTTTCCACTTATCAGGCACTATGCCAGTTTGTAGTGATAGGTTAAAAAGACTAACCAAAGGTATGCCAAGTTCCTCTTAACATTCCTTTAACGCCCTTTCAAACAGTTCATCAGGGCCTGGGGACTTTTTAGGTTTTAGTTTCTTTGTCCGAGGACCATGTCACTAGTTACTGCATTCTTAACTAGTTTATCATCGTCATGTTCTACATAATCTTTCAGGAATATAGGTAGTATTTTCCTGGGTGAAAACCAGAGGAAGGTATTTAGAATTTCACACATCCTTATCACTATCAGTGATCTGACCAGAGTTACTCTAAAGTGGGCCAATCTTGTCCCTAATCTTACTTCTGTATACCTGAAAGAACCCTTTTGGGTTAGTCTTTGAATCCCTTGCGACCTTAGCCTCAATCCCTTTTTGCTTTTCTTATTCCTTCATTTCTCTAATTTAATATATTAACTGCCCATCCCCTCTTGATACGCCTATAATATATATATATATATATATATATATATATATATATATATATATATGCCTCTTGACCAATGAGATGTTTTAATATATTGTTCATCCATCTGGGATCATTTTTGTTAGATCTAATTTCCCTACTCTGAACAAAAGTTGTCTGGGCAGCTAGAACTACGCTCTGAAAAATAGTCCTATTGGCAACCAACCACCTACCAGACTGTCAGGACATCCCAATTTAGCCCACCCAGGTAATTTTTCTGTCCCATCAAGTCTGCCAAGGGGAAAATCTGGGACATTTTATTGCAGTTATCAGAGTAATTCCACGATATATTGAAATTAAGCGATTTGGGATCACTTCAAGCTCATCATTAACCTCAAGATTAGCGAATCTTCGTTGGTTCTTGCCAAGTCAAGCAGATTGTTTCGTCTAGTTGGTTCTGTCAACCTGTTCGAAAAGGCAATCCTGAACCGTATCAAGAAAGTCACTAGTCGAGTTTTCCCGTCATTGTTCCAATCAATTTGTCTCAAGTTGAAATTTTCCATTATCACAACATTTTCATATATAGATTTCTTATGAATTTCGTCCCATAACAGCTTACTGCACTCCCTATCAAGGCAGATGGAGTTTAAAAGTAAAAAAACTAAACTTTAAGGAGATTGAAAATTACCATTATGGAAGCATAGTTATACAAGAGATTTGTTTTAGAGGTAATAATCAAAGTACCAAATCACTTGTGCAAGCAAGCTCGACAGGAGTGCAGGAACCATTTAAAGAGTTTGCATGCTGAAGGATAATAGAAGTCTAGTCATTGCTCCCCCCCCCCCACTCCCAGATCAACTATAAGGTCCGGATTACCCCATTAAAATACTAAACTTTAATATTTCTACATGTAAAAGGCATATATAGTCCTAGCCGACATCAGTCACATACTATACGAAGTTTCTTTCTGCAGAGCACTTCGGGTAAATTAGGTCAATTTTGTCCCACAGTCCAGGTACCTATTTTACCGATGGGTGAACACTAGACTGGTGTAAAGTAAACACTTTCTACCCTTGCCGGGAATCGAACCCAGACATTGAGTTAACTCTGCCACGGGCCTGGAGGCAAGTTTGTACCTTTCCAAGAAGGAAAAGGAAAAAAAAAACTAACCTACCTGACCAAACCTTGAAGGATATCGTCCAAAGGGTAAAGGTTACCATTAACATCAAGGGGTTTCCCGACAGTGATGTGGTCAGCAGAAAGCGTGTTTATCCTCAGACCTCCCTGTACCAGCGTCTTTGTCCCACTAATGAGACGGTTGGTGCCCGAGGCAGGCACAGCGTCTGACGATACAGAATTAAGACACGAGATTGAGAATTAACATTAAGGAATGGCAGTCTTAACACTTTTTGAATACTTTTGCTAGTTTCCTAGTGCATTCCCACCCAATGTTTGCTTACCATCTAATTTAGCGTGAAGGCTCGATAGACTGGTATTCAGCGTATCCAAGACCCTGTCGTAGTATCCAAGTCTATTCATGTGGTCCCGATACCCCTGATAAATTACTTGCCCATCAGAAGTCACTTGTTCCAACCTAATTGTGTCAGCATTCAGCTCACCCGTGTCCAAAGTCTGTCAGGAGAAAGTTGTGAAAACTAGTTTTAAAATCTTCACTATCACTACAGGATTTTCCAAAAATTGTGTAGGGATTCTAAACTTTGTAGATCTATCGGTGGCTGGACTTTTCTTCATAAGCTCAGGCACCTTTTATTTGCAATGAAGTGTGGAATGCGGCATTAAGCAGTTTCTGACATTTAAGCCATCACGAGGCATTCAAGTTGCCTGGGAACTTCATCCCCCATTTAAAGTGATTAAAATCCAATTTATCCTGTTACGAAAAGAAAATTTTGAAAGTAAACTACCTAGTTCCGTTGACAAATTAACTTATTCCGTTAAGATGCAGCAGCCATTTATTAAAATGTTTGAACACTTCAGAAGAAAAGGCTTTGTCAAGGTGTGCGCGTTCACAATGCTAAAAGTTTAAACTTAAAAGGTAGAGTGTTAGCTTGAGCACTTCACTAGTACATGGAAGATGTAAACCAAAATTAGCTACGAACCTTTCACAGTAATCTGAAAATTTTTTGTACATGTTAAGTTCACCTGGAGAGGGGTCAACCGGGGGGGTCAACGCCCCCGCGGCCTGGTCAGAGACCAGGCCTCGTGGTGGATCAGGATGTGATCAACCAGGCTGTTACTGTTGGCCAAACTCAGACGTACGAACCACCCCGGCTGGTCAAGTAATGACTGGGTGCCTGTCCAGAGCCTTCTTAAACATGGATCCATTGGTAATCCACCTTATGTATGTTAGGTTATTTAAGTCTTTGCTATGTAGAATAAAGAATATTAACGCTACATACTCCTAATCACAAAAGCTGTATTAAAATACGGAACTAATGCACTAAATTTTCCACTATGCAAGTTCACCCTTACCTCATTGACTAAATACCATTGACGATGGTTATGTCTGCATTTATAGTGTTATGCCCATCTATGGTGTGGCTCAGTCTCTCCTGGGCGAGCACAATCACATTAGATTGCCGCTGAAATTCAACCTATACAAAGGAAATGGGGTTAAGTTTAGTAACCGTAAATTATTACTAACAAATTTGCTCAGTTTCAACTTAAAACTAAGTTAAATTTATAGTTTCCCCACCACTATTAAAAAAAATAAAACTTGCCTCAAGACTGTTCATCATGTTCTGCAGCTCCTGCGTCTGTACAATTACAGGGTCAGGAAGGTCCTCGAGCACAGCCTTCACCTCCAGTCTGACTAGGCCTAGGCCTGTTGGCACGACCACCTGTCAAAGTGCATTTCCAGCTAAGAATAGATTAAGATTTTTTTTCTTATGGTAATTTAGCTGTGCCTACCCGTCTTCCCAAATCCAAATAACTGAACAATGCCCGACTGACCATCGGTACTTCCACACAGAAATAGAGGTTCCCTCCCCTCTATTATAAAAAATTACTTTCTTTACACTAGATAAAGGAAAGTGTATATGCACATGTGCAAACTTTAAATGCGCGGCCTCATTTATGTAATGCAGCCTAGCTTTGTCCTATAGTCAATGGGTATTTTAGGATAGGTAGTTTCATAATTAAGCTGGGTTATTTTCAATTTCAGGATACTGACGCTGCTCTACAGTTGTGTAGAAGTGTCAATGTCTTCCTTTACATCCAAATATTTTGGGTGGTTCCCCCTTTCCAGCTCTGATTGAAAATTAATATTTATGTATAGAATAGTCTTGACAAAATATTTAGGGATAGGCAGTTAATGTATTTCAAAGTATCAGTAGCCCCAAATTTTGGAGCGAAGCTCGTGTCAAATTTTAATTTAGTCATAGGATAGGTCCCGTACATGACACGGGAAACCACACATGATAGGGTAGTCAATTTAGGTTTTTTTTTTTTTATCCCCGTACAAGTATACGTTACGAGAAACTTGAAATTTGCTATTAAGCAACTTACCAGGTTTGAGTCCAGTTTCATGTCAGCGTGGGCGTACACACTATACCAGTCAGAGATAGATACTTCCAAATCCTTCACATAACTCTGCAAAATTATGACTTAGTATGTACCTTTAAGCTTTCATCATTCAGTTTGTAGGTTATACATCTTTAGTACAAGTAAGAATATCAGAAGGAACAAAATTGCCACCTAGAGATGTTAAGATTACCATCTGAACCATCTGAGTGTCATTCCAGACGTAGGCGAGAATCTTCTTTGCCTCTCCAGTGAGCAGTACAGCCTTACCCCTCCACGATGGGATCTATAGGGAGAACGTGCCCTCAGCGAGGTTCAGGTTTACATTATCTTTGACACTTCCATTAACTTTTTTCTAACAAGCACTTTAGAATTTACAGCTTTGTTTACACATTCCACAGGAAGAAAAAAAAACTAAAAGTCAACCAGTTTCAATATTCTAAATTTAGTGATACTACTGCCACCTGCAAAGGATACCCATTATTTCTTCCTGCTAGAGGATATGATCCACGACATTTCATTACTCAAATTGTAGGCCATTTTAAATACAAGGGCTATTAATGCTTTATGAAGGCAGTGTAGAAATTAGTAAGAATACACCTATTGATTAGCAGCTTCATCAAGTTTCATATCTTACAGACAATGGCACGATGGCTCTGAAGAACGAGATTCCGTGGCTGGGCGAGAGGTCCTGGACACCATGGTAGAGCATGCCAGAGTGAAGGTAAAGGCGAGCCGCTTTACGTGTCACCACCACCAGGTAGTTCTCAAACCCCATGCAGAAGCTCTGCCAGTAGACTATGGATGTACCCAGGCTTAGTGTCTGCAAGTTCCTCGCCCGATATTCGTGCCACTGGTTGGCCTGAAAGTGCAAAAGTAGTTCAGAGTTTTGGTGAAGTGCAAAGTTTGCTACCACCTAATTCAATGTTGCTTTCAGTGTATATATAAACACTGATCATGAACTTTAAGTAGCCGTTTGACTAGTCCTTAGAAAGTTTTAGCGCTTCCCAGTAAAGTGTCCTAGTAATGTTAAATTGATACCTACTCCATTCCCCCCCCCCCATTTAAAATTCAGGCTTGTCGAATTTATATTTATATATATATATATATATATATATATATATATATATATATATATATATATATATATATATATAAGTGGGCACTGGGAGTAACAAACTATACCGAGCCTTTGAAGACTAGCCTGTTTGGGACCGTAGGGAGAGGAAATCTGCGGATACCTGGTTAGAACCATATCAGGGATTAGAATATAGACAAATACTGTGTTAAGAAATTATTCAAATTGAGAAGTAAAACTTTGTATAAAATTAAGTTATAATTCTATTTTTTCTGCACAACTTTCTTTAACCAAGACTTAACACTCAAGCGATTCATATTCATGGAGGAAGCGCTAAGCCCATAGGGAGTATTAGAACGCCATGGGAGTAGTTATAAAAGATAAGAGTATAGCTCCAGTTACTTTGGAAGAGAATATCAAGCTATCTCCTCGTGTATATTCAACACGAGTACTGCCCCGATATTTATGCAGCACCATGGTTTGTTAGGAAATAATTAAAATTTTCATTCTGAACTCTTCAGTTTTTTGTTTTTAGTTAAAATTTGGAGAATCTAAAAATTGGTTTACTAAATGAAATTTATAAATGCTAAAATTGACTAAGCTTGTTAACCAGGACGTTGATCAGGTACTCTCGAGACTAAGGGACAACGAGCAAATACGTACTGACCTTCAGTTCGTAAATTAGCAGTTCTGCGTCACTTAGAACTGCCAGCATGACTCTTCCTCCGCTCTGCCATGCTCTCATCTCGCTCCCAACGGCGTGCCACACTTCAGACAACCTGGAAATACAAGTCAGGTTTTGACAAATTTAATAAAGCTAGATTTTACCACTATTCTTACCGCTTTAAGTAGAGGCTTCCCTATGGAATAAAACTAAAAGCTCTTAATTCTTACTCTGTGCTTTAAATTCAAAGTAAACCAACAGCTTTTAAAATTGCTATAAGTGAAGGCTAAGTATCAGTAGGGAGCGGCTTCAGAAATTGTAAAAAAACTGCGGGGGGGGGGGCTTAACCGTTTATTATAATCAAAGGGAAGCGCTAAACCCGTAGGATTATACAGCGGGTGTGGGGCGACTATTCAGGCTTAGTTCAGGGAACTGGAGCACAGATCCAATTAAAGATCAAGAGCCCTTCACCAGCATCAAGGAACCTCCCTCTAGGGGCAAGATGGTCGGAAAAAAAGGGGGGGGGGAGGGAACTAGACTATTTGGAGGCCTATGAATTAGCGAGGGCTTCAGCCTCCACCAAGAGCTGCCCTTTAACTTTCAGAACTGCACAAGCAACCACTCACCCGCTGGCAATCCCTGTAGCGTCGATGTTTATGCCGTGGAACTGCTGGCTGTTCTCCCCTGCTCTGAAAGTAATTAAAAACCGATCCTTCTTTATGATGCCGTGGAAATCTTTGAAAGTCTCTCCGTAACCCAGGTGTGTGACGGGGGTGGCGAAGATGATCGTGCCTAGACCGCTCTCAGAGTGCATTGTCTGGGCACTGTCCTCATCCTGAAGGGAAAATTTGTTTAAACAGAAGTGCAACAACTTAAGTTTTGTCTAAATCCTTAGCATCTTGGCACATTCAAACTAAGTTTATGGAGGGAGAATTTATAGAAACATCTCTCAATCACTTACAATTTTATAAAAAGTGACTGTTGTGCCTCTGGCAGCTACAAGGACTCTCTGCAAGCCTTCCTCAGGATCGTAGTAGTTCAGATAGTACTGAAATCCTACGGCAGCATCCAATTCTAGCTTCTTCGGTCCTGGAAGGAAGGTTATCAGTATAAATAAGCAGAGGTGCTTGTTGAGCTAGGGTAGGTGGCTTCGAGGTTGCGTTGAGAGAAGTGTGCCAAGTTCTATATTACTTTGTACACATTGAACTCATTAGGACAGTACGGAAAAGGAAAAGTTTCTTTAAATTCCCTCAGACTTTAGGAATATTAAGCTTCAGCTACGAAAGGTATCTTCAACCAAATAAGTATGGAAATTGGTATCGCAACTTAAGCATTTTAATTATAGGATACTTAGATTCCAGTAATCTCGCTTGCAATCTTTCCTAAATATTTATACCATAGAAAGTTAAAAAAAAAAACTAAGCTATTTTACATGGAGGATAGAGTAAAGAAACTCTTTAGACTGATCGGAGAAGGATGTTGGGCACTGTAGGTAGGAGATATCCCTAGGGGAGGAGACAAGGAAGGTGTAGAATTCGCGGGCAACAGCGAAGGGCGAGAACCAGAACACTTCCTGTTCTCTCCATGCATAGTCAAGAGACTACTGGGGAAGTTAGAGTGAAGCAGACAACTTACTATGTGAATCACAAGTTTGGTAGTAGTCTTTGTCACACGGCACACAGGTGTCGCTCGCTGACCCACACCTGCACGCACCCTCCTCGCAGCAAGCACAATCCTTTAAAAAATTACCAAAAATAAAATTTCTTCAAATTCATATTAAAAGTCTTAGGTCTTCAAAATCTTAAAGCTAGTATTTAGGACTAGTCATACCTCCCAGTCACCTCACAAAAACAGTTTTCTGCGTTTGACATTAAACTACCTTCACCTGCCTTTGAGTGGTCGTGGTCACAGGGACATCCCACCAGAGACTTCGTCCATCTGTTCCTCACTTTGACAGTCTCCAGCCGGCCATCCTTTATTACATGCCCGAGGTGTGCTTCACACTAAAAAAAAATTACTTTCAGGTTAAACAATTTAGAACGGCAGCTTTCTCAACTTAAAGGGGCGGGAAGAGAAGAGCGAAAATGTTAACCATAAGCAGTAACAGCCTAGGGAAACTAGTAAACTAGTTCCTTAGCCGACTAAAGAGCCGACCCTTCGAGGAGACTAAATGGCAAATTAAATAACCACGAATTAAAGACTTACTGATTTAGTTTCATGAACCCTATTTCCTTCCCTGGTAGTCTGAGGGTTCTGAAGACTTAATCCTACCTGGTATATGGCAGAGATGTTCCAGAGGTCAAGTGGAAAGACCTTGATGATTTTTACATTGCCCAAACGATCTTTCACGTCTATGTCAGTGATTGTCAGTTCTGAGGGGAAGGGGGGGTTCTATTAAGTATTTATTAAGTATTTAAGTATTTATAAGATCATGGCACAAGGGCCACACAGCGCTGCTTAAGTTTAAAGAAAAATTCCAATGTTAAATTATAAACTGGGAAAAATTTAGTTGGCAACACTAAAAGGATATTTTCTCCCCACAGCAGTTAGTACATTACTTGCTGTCCTGAATGTTAATGTTGCAGTTTTGGTGAACACTAGTGACAAGAGCGAAGTAATATGCAGATTGTTCATAAAACGCACTAATTAAACTAGTGTGAAAGCTTTTGCCCATGTTAAAAAAGTTTGAAAAGTGACAAGTTTAGCTTCTCAACAGCATTACTGCCATCAACAAACTCCACTACAGCTAGCGCTGGTCCAAGCTATATCTGTACTTACTCTCCCTATTCCCGATCTCAACATCAAAGGTGTAAGAGTGCCAGTAGGATGGGATGCCGAGATGCCGGGAGATGCCCTTCGTAGCCAGCTGCGGAGAGATGGTGGTCCTCTTGTCCCGTCGGTAGCGGTGCAGGTTCTCTAAGTTAGTCTCGTGATCCCTCAACTGAGTCTCGTAGCTCTTTACTATGTCATTTTTCAGATCTTGAAGGCGGGCCTCCAGCAGAGAGTCCAGCTGTGAAGGAGAAGAGGCTGAGAATATACAGGAGAGGAGCAACTCCTAGACGGCAGTTTTCACTAGTACACTTTTTATAATCAAGGGGGAGGGGGAAATTAAACCCGTGGGGTTATACAGCGCTTGTGGGGATGGGGATGTGCAAGGCAATCGGGCTTAATTCAGAGAACGGGAGTAGATCCAATTCTAGATCAAGAGCCCTCACCAGCGTCAAGGAACCTTAAGGGGGGGGAAAAAAAAAAAGCCCATAGCCCGTATGGGTTACAGCACTTGGGGGGGGGGGGAAATATGTCATTGGATGCAAGGGAGCTTAAACCTAGTTTTCGATTAAAAGCCTTTTACCGGCATATAGGCAAGTATGTAAGCGAGGAAGACAAAGGGGGGAGGGGGTTCAGATTTAGATTCCTCGGCGAGACAACTATACCGTTAATTTAAGAGCTCCTCGGCGGCATCAAGGGTTGGGGAGGGGGTATGCGAGGACTACGATAACTATCGATGAAAGTTAAAGACTTGGCAGTCGCAACCGTATTGAAGACAAAAGCATTAGTGCTTCTGAAATTTAAGACTGCTTAGAGATGCACTTAGTGCATCTAAGTAGTCTAAAATTAAAGTAGACTCAGATTTGTGGCCGATAATCAGCAAGAGGGACAGTCTACCTGAGCAATACTTACACCCTCTAACATCTAAGTGGGGATGAAATTTGTCACTAGAAACAAAGGAATTTAGAGCTCTGGCCTACCTCTAATCAAGTCTGATTAAGTTCCGTCCCGGTTCTGCACGCTCACAACAAAGGTACTTCTGCACAGTACACTAGTTACATAACTAATTAGTTCTAATTATAAAAATGCATACTACCTACCTTTCGCCTACTGTGTAGGCGAAACGTTTCGGAATAGAGTTGTCTAACTGTTGCACATGTGTCTTACCTAACAACCTGTCGGTATTGTATACCATTTTGATGTTCATCTTGTCGGACACTGCGACACATGGCATCTTGGTACAGAAAACACCTTGGACAAGGTTTTCAAGTGAGAAGTGTTGGATCTGAGAGGGACATGACCTCTCAGTGGTTACATTCTCACTACTACTACTATGCACCTCTCCTTCCGACAGTATTTAAGTCTCCGCACTGTCGCTTGATCTTCAGATAGTTCCTGACTATGGAACTGAACTTCTCCAGGTCGAGGGACTGAACCTCAAATTCTACGACTACAAGGGTGATGGACTGATTACATCGTCTTCACATCTCTACTGTTCCTGCCTATTTTCTGCATTCGACTGAAGAAGCCTACTGTGTAGGCGAAACGTTTCGGAATAAAGTTGTCTAACTGTTGCATATGTGTCTTACCTAACTACCTACCTTATCCGTAGGAAGATTTTTCAGGAAAATCTCCGATGGTCGAAGTTCTTTCTTGGGCAGCGCCCACGCCACCACGGTCAGCCACAGCGTCAGGAAAGCTGACGCCTTCATCACCTGAGGATATAGTACAGTAATGCTTTCACAGGAATATTAGTGTTATAGCCATGAAAGTGGAAGAGCTTTACCAAGTGTTACAAACTACCTTCGCTAAGTAAAATCTTAGAATATGGGAAAGGTAAACAACGAGGCTATAGAAGTCGAGATAAAAAAAAAAAAAATTACAAAATTAAGTTATCCATGATCACTCCATATCCACCAACAAATCCAAATCCACGAACAGTACACGTCGTTCCTATCCAGGACCTCCTCCCCAAATTGCATCCTGCCAAGGAACCATTATGCAAAACCCAACAGTATTAAAACTAGGCTTAGAGTACTAAATCAGAAATTTTTCGTATTTGCCAGCTATTAGATTCTCCCCCCCCCCCACTTTAAGAAAAAAAAATCTCAACAGCTGACAAATCAATTCAATTCAGTCTTGCCATACGAAGGATTAGCCAAATAATCGCGTTCAGCCGAATCCCTGTTGATAAACGTAAATCAATAGATTAACACTACGAGAAGTCCCTGCCATCTACCTTCCCATAAATCAAGACCTGAATAGCGTCAACGACAGCTGTTCCTTACCTCCGTTAAACACCGGAAACTTTAGAAGTAACGATGATTTAGTTCTGCCCCAGAAACCCCGCAGTGAGTTAGGTCCACCTACTCAGACTCAAGGGGGAGTAGTATGGTGAGCTGATTGATGTCAATCGCTCGTGAGGTTCGCTTTAAACATTTGAGTGATAAAGTAAGGAAAGTAAGTCAAGAGAGCCATCTGTGTATCAGAATTTTCACCAACGCCAGAGTCTTCCGGGTGCTGTCATCTATTATCAATATTAATAACCCATTTCCGGAAACAGAAAACCGAGAGGTGTGATGGGAAACGCAAGTGTTGCAAATATAATTAAATTTTTTTCCATATTAATTTCTAATTTAATAACAATGAAATAAAAAACCCGTTTGTCGCATCAGTTCTTTTCGGAAAATGAGGGTAACGCTCTCGCCATATAAATAATAAAAAAATAAGTTTTAAATTGTAAACGAGAAAGAGTTCTATAATATTTTGAAAGCGGTTTGTTAAACAGTTTTGTTAAATTTTTGGACAAGTTGGAAAATGAGATGGTTCTTTCCATTATAAATAACATTTTTGTTGACACACACACACACGCATGCGTGTGTACACACACGTGTGTGTGCACAAACACACATACACACACACACACACATCATTATCATCAGGAGGAGAGTGGTGGAGCACCTGGAGCGGAACAAGATTATAAACGGCAACCAGCACCAATTCATGGAAAGCAAATCCTGTGTCATAAACCTACTGGAGTTTTATGACAAGGTAACTGAAGTAAGAAACGAGAGGGAGGGGTGGGTTGATTGCATTTTCTTGGACTGCAAGAAGGCCTTTGGCACAGTTACTCACAAGAGATTAGTACAGAAGCCAGGGGAACAGGCACGTATAACAGGAAGGGCACTGCAATGGATCAGAGAATACCTAACAGGGAGGCAACAGCGAGTCATGGTCCGTGACGAGGTATCACAGTGGGCGCCAGTGACGAGCGGGGTCCCACAGGGGTCAGTCCTGGGACCAGTGCTATTCTTGGTATATGTGAACGACATGACGGAAGCGATAGACTCAGAAGTGTCCCTGTCTGCAGATGACGTGAAGTTAATGAGGAGAATTAAATCAGGCGCGGACTAGACAGGTCTACAAAGAGACCTGGACAGGCTGGATGCGTGGTCCAGAAACTGGTTCCTAGAATTTAAGCCCGCCAAATGCAAAATCATGTAGATCGGAGGAGGGCAAAGAAGACCGCAGACAGTGTATAGGCTAGGAGGCCAAAGGCTGCAAACCTCACTCAAGGAGAAAGATCTTGGGGTGAGTATAACACCGAGCACATTTCCTGAGGCGCACATCAATCAGATAACTGCTGCAGCGTATGGGCGCCTGGCAAACCTAAGGATAGCGTTCCGATACCTCAGTAAGGAATCGCTCAAGACTCTGCACACCATTCACGTTAGGCCCATAATGGAGTGTGCAGCACCAGTTTGGAATCCACACCTGGTCAAGCACGTCAAGAAATTAGAAACTAATCTCAGAGCTAAGGGGATTGTCCTACGAAGAAAGGTTAAGGGAAATCGGCCTGACGACACTGGAGGACAGGAGGGTCAGAGGAGACATGATGACATATAAAATACTGCACGGAATAGACAAGGTGGACAAAGATATTATGTTCCAGAGATGGGACACAGAAACAAGAGGTCACAATTGGAAGTTGAAGACTCAGATGAATCAAAGGGATGTCAGGAAGTATTTCTTTAGTCATAGAGTTGTCAGGCAGTGGAATAGCCTAGAAAGTGACGTAGTGGAGGCGGGAACCATTCATAGTTTTAAGACGAGGTATGATAAAGTTCATGGAGCAGGAAGAGAGAGAACCTAGTAGCAATCAGTGAAGAGGCTGGGCCAGGAGCTATGAATCGACCCCTGCAGCCACAAATAGACGAGTACAAATAGGTGAGTACACGCACACACATACACACACAGGAGCTTGGTCTCGACCCCTGCAACCTCAACTAGGTGAGTACACACACACACACACACCAGCGATCAGTGAAGAGGTGGTGCCAGGAGTTATGAATCGACCACTGCAACCACAAATAGGTGAGTACGCACACACACACACACACACACTTCTGAGTCTAACCCTTCCGACATGACGGAAGGGTTAGACTCAGAAGTGTCCCTGTTTGCAGATGATGTGAAGTTAATGAGGAGAATTAAATCTGATGAGGACCAGGCAGGACTTCAAAGAGACCTGGACAGACTGGACACCTGGTCCAGCAAATGGCTTCTCGAATTTAATCCTGCCAAATGCAAAGTCATGAAGATAGGGGAAGGGCACAGAAGACCACAGACAGAGTATAGGCTAGGTGGCCAAAGACTGCAAACCTCACTCAAGGAGAAAGATCTTGGGGTGAGTATAACACCGAGCATGTCTCCGGAAGCACACATCAATCAGATAACTGCTGCAGCATATGGGCGCCTGGCAAACCTGAGAACAGGATTCCGACACCTTAGTAAGGAATCATTCAAGACACTGTACACCGTGTATGTCAGGCCCATACTGGAGTATGCAGCACCTGTTTGGAACCCGCACTTGATAAAGCACGTCAAGAAACTAGAGAAAGTACAAAGGTTTGCAACAAGGTTAGTTCCAGAGCTAAGGGGAATGTCCTATGAAGAAAGATTAAGGGAAATCGGCCTGACGACACTGGAGGACAGGAGGGTCAGGGAGACATGATAACGACATATAAAATACTGCGTGGAATAGACAAGGTGGACAAGGACAGGATGTTCCAGGGAGGGGACACAGAAACAAGAGGCCACAATTGGAAGTTGAAGACACAAATGAGTCAGAGAGATAGTAGGAAGTATTTCTTCAGTCATAGAGTTGTAAGGCAGTGGAATAGCCTAGAAAATGACGTAGTGGAGGCAGGAACCATACACAGTTTTAAGACGAGGTTTGATAAAGCTCATGGAGCGGGGAGAGAGAGGGTCTAGTAGCAACCGGTGAAGAGGCGGGGCCAGGAACTAGGACTCGACCCCTGCAACCACAAATAGGTGAGTACAAATAGGTGAGTACACACACACACACACACACACACACACACACACACACACACACACACACACACACACACACACACACAGATGATGTGAAGTTAGTGGAGAGAATTAAATGGGATGAGGATCAGGCAGGACTACAAAGAGACCTGGACAGGCTACAAGCCTGGTCCAGCAACTGGCTCCTGGAATTTAACCCCATCAAATGCAAACTCATGAAGTTCGGGGAAGGGCAAAGAAGACCCCAGACAGAGTGTAGGCTAGGTGGCTAAAGACTGTAAACCTCACTCAAGGAAAAGGATCTTGAGGTGAGTATAATACCGAGTACATCTCCTGAGGCGCACATCAACCAGATAACTGGTGCAGCATATGGGCGATTGGCAAACCTAAGAATAGCGTTCCGATACCTTAGTAAGGAATCGCTCAAGACTCTGTACACCGTGTATGTCAGGCCCATATTGGAGTATGCAGCACCAGTTTGGAACCCCCACCTGGTCAAGCACGTCAAGAAATTAGAGAAAGTGCAAAGATTTGCAACAAGACTAGTCCCAGAGCTAAGGGGAATATTCTACGAAGAAAGGTTAGGGGAAATCGGCTTGACGATACTGGAGGACAGGAGATATTCCTGCGATTGAGCACTCGCATCAGTGTCTTTAACTCAGGTCTTAAAACAAATGCCACAAAAATAGTAGAAAGCGGTAAGCACCTCACTGTATTACCAGACCAAGACCAAAAAAATGGCAAAGATGAAGGAGATGTATAGGAGGGTTAGGGGAGACATGATAACGACATATAAAATATTGCGAGAAATTGACAAGGTGGACGGAGACAGGATGTTTCAGAAATGAGACACAGAAACAAGGGGTCACAAGTGGAGGTTGAAGACTCAGATGAGTCACGGGGATGTTAGGAAGTATTTCCTCAGTCATAGAGTTGTCAGGAAATGGAATAGTCTGGCTAGTGACGTAGTGGAGGCAGGAACCATACATAGTTCTAAGACAAGGTTTAATAAAACTCATGGAACAGGGAGAGGGAGGACCTAGTAGCGATCAGTGAAGAGGTGGGGCCGGGAGCTATGAATCGACCCCTGCAACCACAAATAGGTGAGTACACACATACATCTGTGAGTACTAGATGAATTTAACTGGGTACAACTACGTCAGTATAACTTTGTAAGTATAACCAGGTGAATACATTAAAGTGGGTACAGCTAGGTTAGTAGAACTGAGTAAGCACACCTAAATGACTATAACCCTGTGAGTACAAATAAGAAAGGACAACTAGGTGAGTAAAACAAGGTGAGTACAACTGGGTGAATAAAACTAGGCGAGTATAACTAGTTGAGTGGAATTAGGTGAATATTACTAGGTGAATACACCTAAGTGAATATAATTAGGTGACTATAACTAGGTGAATACAATTGTGTGAGTAAAACTGGGTGAGTACAACTAGTTGAGCACAACAAGGTGGGTATAACTTAGTGAAAACACTTAGGTGTGTGCATCCAGGTGAATACACCTGAATACAACTAGGTGAGTAAGCAACTGCAATGGCTAATGTAAAATCCGAAAACAATTGTTAATCTGTCATGGACGATGAGAGAGAGAGAGAGAGAAAGAGAGAGAGAGAGAGAGAGAGAGAGAGAGAGAGAGAGAGAGAGAGAGAGAGAGAGAGAGAGAGAGAGAGAGAGAGAGAGAGAGATAGATAGATAGATAGATAGATAGATAGATAGAGAGAGAGAGAGAGAGAGAGAGAGAGAGAGAGAGAGAGAGAGAGAGAGAGAGTGCACCAGTCACTGGATGAATCCAAAGTCAGCTGTGTGGTAGCACTGGACATTGCTGGCGCTTTCGACCGGGTGTGGCACCAGGGCCTCTTAGCAAAACTTCAAGCACTGGGAATTGCAGGCTCTACGCTATGTCTCCTCAGTGATTACCTTCATGGTAGATCTCTAAGTGTAGTTCTCAATGGAACGGAATCAGCAAGACATCCTATTGGGGCAAGTGTTCCACAAGGAAGCGTGCTGGGTCCATTGTTATGGAATGTCTACTTCAACGACCTTCTTCATCTCA